TCTGGATAATAAAAATTGCATGTAATTCATTAAAATCAATCGGTAAAGAGTAACAAATCTATTTAAGTTTGACATGATAATTATTAAAGGAATCATCATCATTAGATGTTTCGACTAACTGAATCACTCAAACATGATTTGCATTCATAGATTTGGCATAAATTAATCATCTTTGATGATTATTGGCATTTCGCGTACCAAGGATTGATGTAATTTCATTTACCCTTTCGCGACGATGTGGCCCACCAGTGAGTTACACTATATTTTAAAACTAACGAGTGATCCAGAATAAATGACCGCACTTTACATTTCATATTTTAACCTCTAACTACATTTTATTCAAAAAAACAGCATATATCATAAGATGCAGCGTGAAAAACTCTACAATCTGCATAATAAAGCTTATTTTAATTGTGTAATTTTTGTTTTCAAAAAAAGCAAAATCCTGTGCAATCAATTTTCGCAACCTCACAAATTGGTCACACACAGTTTTGGTTTTTTTTTGAAAACAAAAAGTGCACGAATGAAATAAGCTTTACTATGTAGATTATAGAGGTTTTCATGCTGCCTCTTATGATAGATTTTGTTTTCCAATAAAACATATTTAGAGATTAAAATATGAAATGCGAAATTCGGTCATTTATTCTGAGTCACCTGTTACTTTCTATGAAAATCGAATTGCCGCGAAAGGGTTAATAATGATCAACGTTACTGACAAAGTATTAAAATGTTACTTTTTTTAGGATTGTTTTCGATATGATTGAATTCTTAGGAGTTCTTTAGTGTATAAAACAATTTCAGATACCTGCTGAAGTACTAATCACGACAAGAGAAACTATTCCCTCATTGTTACTAGTACACATATTAGTGCCTGAATTCTACAAGCTTGCCGTTTGTTTGCTTCTTTCTTTGATTTTGACATTCCAAATAATATTATGCACTATGCAAGTCTCTTATTTTTGTCCAAGTAACTATAAGTATCGACCGTATTAAAATAATTGATGTATATATGTGATTCTTGTCTTATAGTTCATCTTAGGATTTGAAACTTAAGGTTGAAATGTCTATAAGAAAAAAAGTATTCCTGTGGATATTTTGTCTAGTGGTACATGCTAGACTGATTAAAGGACTGAATTTGATGAGAAACATTCTTATCAGAACACAAAACGTAGAAAGGCCTATGGTATGCTAAGACTCTGGAATTCGGAATTAGCGCAGTGAACTGCATACAGTCATGTGTGTTTCTACCAAAAAGAGATTGATCTTTTAGGGAACTTTCCTCATAAGTCAAAACTCAAACACAAAAAGAAAATGTAATTTTTTTTTAATTAATTTTATTCATCACTATTTATTCGTTATTTTTGGATTTAACATAAGATGATAGTCATGTTGTAAGATCGAAAATTTCGTCTTGTTATACATATAAGATAAAAAATAAAATTGATTCAAAGAAAAAAGTGATCACAATTTGAGTATAACTTTTGTTGATTTTTCGATCGATGTTGAATATAAAGCAGCTATTTCATCCCATCGATTTCGTGTTATATGTGATAAAGTAACTGTATTTTCAACAAATGTTAACCATATTCGTAGAAGTCTACACAAAAAAAAAAGAAATTTATTTTGAGATAAATAATATCTATTGAGATTCAATTATCAATTATAACTTACTTCATTAATAATGAAGAATATTTTAAATCTATACAACGAATATTATCTAATGAGAAAATAATACTTGCATTGAGATGACAGATAAATAAAATTGTTTGACGAACATTATTATAACTGAAAATAAAAGACGTGAATTTATGATCATTATTGAAAACAAAAAACACAGTATAAGAAATGTACATATTAGTAAAACGTTCAAAATTACTACGTTGATTTGATCGTAATTGTTTCGAATGATAAGCTTGCCCACGAGTTTTTATAAAAATATCAATATTAACAAATATTTGATGCATGTGAGTACATATTTGACGAATTATTATTATTAATGATTGTTCATTATAACCAGTTGTTGTTAACTATTTAAGAAAATGATTAACATATTACCTTATTATATAAAATAAATTATATGAAAACACAAAAAGAGAACAGGTTAACAGTATACATCAGATATGTACATGGCAGTGGTGTTATATCATCACTGTGACACTTTGTTTTTTAAATCACCGCAGTGTGACAACGACAGCTTCTTTGCTAGGGTAGGTATAAAATTGTTTAAATTTACGCTTTATTTGAGTATCTACAAGTACAACAGTTAGAATCGTAGTGAATCTATTGGATTCAATCTAACTGTGCTAGTTCAACACAGTGACGACAAAAGATATTATTGACGAATTTCTCGAAAACCATTGCAGCAATGGCAGATTTCGAGTCGCAATGGACATCTATGGTATACATATCGATACTAGTCGCTATTGTGTTCGACTATTCCACAAATATCACGTGGAACTGAAACCATTAAATCATCAGTTAAATACGAAAATTTTAAATCTATTTTGAGGAATTTTCACTATGAAATTGTTAAAATTAAAGACGTCACATATTTCAATACTTAAACAAAACAATATGATACATACATACTGAAATCTTTAATCTCAAGAATAAAGATTTCTAGACATAGATTTAAGAATTTTTGTATCTATCTTAATAAAGAATGAAAAAAAACTCTAATTTTGAGTTGAAAAACTCAACTTTCTTGGAATGATCAATTATTGGAGAAAAGTCATCAATGTTTGGTCCGCTAAGATCACTATTAGAAACTTTTGAATAATGTGTCATCTGATTGTGCATACAACTATCAAGGGTGTTCTAATCGAAATGAGGCTTTGGTCTCAGTGAAAAATTTCGAAAAAATACGAAAATTTAACCTCGAAATAAGTGAAGTTTGGATTAGTATACTTGGTTGTACGAACAATGAGATAAGATGAACCCCGATACTTCGCGAAAAAAGACTAAGGGCTTCTTATATAAGAAAAAGATGGATTTTTATTGTCTCAGTTCATACTTAATTGATACCGAAGGAAAGCCTTACCAGCACTTTTGGAGAACAGCTCATTAAAAAAAAATTGAAACTTTCAAGGTGAATAGATTTTGATAAATTGAGCAAGAATTGTCATAGATTCAAAATTTTCAAATGTTTCCTTCTAGGAGATATCAGGACCGGAAAAGCTAAAAGTCTTCCCGCTTTCTCCGCTGCAATGTGTGTGATTGGAGTTAAATTTCTTTTTTTAGATAGTAAACACTCTTTGGGGTACCTTTTTTTTTTGGTTTCTTTCTATCTTGTTCCGTTTGAATAAAACGATCAACATATAAAGAGTACCTCTAAAAATGCATGTGTTTTTTGTAGATTCTCACAAAAACCAACGATGCATCATATTTTAAAACAAAAAAAAGGTGACAAACCTAAACACTCTCGAGTATAAGTAGAAGAATGTTTCAGCTCGATCAGATGTATTATGACTAAAAGACTAAGGCGATCGTCAAGTTTTTTACTCATTTTAAATATGTCCAGTAACGAAACATGTAAAAAAGTTTCGGTCAAGAAAGAGGTTCTACTCGTAAGAATTTTTATTCTCAAATACGTTGCTAGGAAGCTATAAAGTTTTAGTTGAACTGGAACTCACGGTCTTAAATCTATTAAAAGTCATATGTTTCGAGCACGTATTACATAAAAAAAGGCTAAGTAAATCTGATGGTTTGTTATTATGGTATAATAACTTGAAAGCATGAGTACAAAAGCTCATATTCATGTCTAAAAAGAAAGACCTTTTCCTTACACAAATAATTTCGTTAACATTTAAATAATTATCACTTCAATTCTGTCTAACAATGATCAATTTGTCAATAGACGATTAGCAATAGTCAAACAAATTACAGTCTTCATCAAACTTAATTACAATAACAATTAATAAAGCCATTTGATAATATCACTTACTTTACAAGTACAATATCGATTAATTAGATTTATATTGTCTTCATTTAATAATATATCTATTGTTTGTAATGATATATTATTAAATAAAAACAATTTATCTAAAACAGAAGACAAAAACAAGTTATTTTTCTTTTTTGTCATTGATAATTTAATAAATAATATTCTAACCAGGAGAGATAAATAATAGCCAAAAATTAGTTAACTGAATTGTAAAATCAGTTGTTTCTATTTCTACTTCTTCGGTTAATGTAGAACGTTCAGGCATTTGTTTAAATTCAATAACACATTGACAGATCTGATAATGAAATATATAGAATAAAATTATTTGCAAAAAAAATATCTATATACTTGATTTCTAGCAATAGCAATTGGATGATAATAAACTTTATAATTATTTATATAATCAAGTAGACTTTGTCCATATTTATCCAATTTCTAATAAAAAAGAAAATCTGCATATAAAATAAAAAAACAAATTAACTTCAAGGTATTTTAATATACGTTTTTATCATAACGATAGAGTAATATAAATAAAAGACCTAATTGTGCATCGGAAATTGATCGCGGAAGACATTCATAATCAGTTTCACCATGACTTAATTTTGATCGAAGACAAACACCATCCGGAAATGTAATTAAATCACCTAGAAGACTCTATAATATGTTATTTAAGAAATTATATAATATTCAATATATTTTTGTTTCTTTCTATACCATATAACCTCGACCGAGTTTATCACAAAGACGATTTGGTGAACCATCTGGTAAACAGCAAGTTAATATCTAAAGTTGAATTGATATACAAATTAACTATGAATTCGAATCATACTTCATCTAAAGTAGTATATAATGTTGTAGCCTAAATATTCAAACGATTATATTTACTATCATTTATGCAAAAAAAAAAACAATAGACAAACTTCAGCTGTTAACAAGCGTTCTGGACAATTATTAGCATTAACAAATAATTTTCGTAATAGATGCTCGAATACAGGTAATAGAAGTATCATACTCAAACCATATCTAAATTAAATATTAAGAAAATTAAAAAAATTAAAAATATTTTTATATATTTACTCATTTCGATGAAAGAAATAATCAATACTTGATATTAATAATGGTTTGTAACCATTATCTATTAAATGACTATTTTGAATTAATTTAATCGCTGTATCTGCATTTGGACAACATATATCTGTAATTACCAAATAATTTATACAAATTCTTTGAATGAGAATTCTAGTTTATAGATCTGACATTTTTCATAACAATATAGAATCATGTACATCCATCATAACATTTCATCTTGTGTACTTTGTTTATGTGTAAAGTGGTGAAAAAAATAAGCAATGTATTTTTGATTTTTTTTTTCTACAATGTTGAGTACCTGCCTTAAATCTAAATAGTAATTTTAATAGACAACGAAGTTTTCTATCTCATGCATTTTATAGCATGACTTCATAGATGAACTATGATCACAAGTTTTCTAAAAAAACAAATCGGATATAATCGTTTTCAGATCCCAGAAGACTTTATCGAAGTTATTTTTTTTTACCAATGCTGTTTTAAAGAGAATAAAATGACGAGTCACCGCATTTTCTATGACCTTCCATTAAAAATTCAATACATTACAATAAACGAAAATGGAGTTTTTTAGTCGAGTTTTTGATAAATTTTGATACTTTTAACTTGTTAAGGGAAGGTCGTAAAGAATGCGACAATCCCTCATTTTTTGTTATGGTATTGTCAAAAAATAGCTCCGACAAAGTCTTCTGGAACCTCAAAACTACTGTATCCGAATTTTTTTAGAAACCTTGTCATCATAATTCATCTATGAAATCTTGCTATAAAATGTATTAAATAGAAAGCTTTCTTGGCTATTAAAACCATTATCTGAATTTGAGCTAAGTCCTTACATTAAAAAAAAGTCAACAATTCATTGTTGTTAAAATTTTTTTCACCACTTTAGTATACTCGTTGTTCATTGATTCTAACTGCTTTTATGCTCAACTTGGGATTTTATTATATATCTTCAATACATTTTATGTCTAATTACCTGTAGGAAGAAAATTATGATTTATAAAACGATCAAATGAAATAAATTGTCGTTCAGGTATAACTTTTCCATTAAGAATAGGTTCAATTTGTAAAATAAGATACAATAGAAAATAAGTAAATCTAGTAAAAACAAAAAAAAAAAGATAGAAAACGAAATGCATTTTAATTAATAATGATAAAATTTAAAATACTTTGGTGAGACTTCATTATATTGAACAAATCCATGCCAATAGACATTACGTAAATTGATTGATTTAGGACTACCAATTAGTAATTGTAAGAGTAAAGTCTATATATAAAAATATAGATATTAAAATAATTTATTTCATGATATTTACTAAATCTGAACCAAGAATTGTACAAAGACTTGATGATTCAACAATTTGTCTAAGAAGATTTGGCACTATATTTATTTGTAGTAAAAGTAACTAAATTATTAGAATATGAAATATTCAAAAACAAAAATTTTTTCCAATACTCAATATCTCTTACATTTCCAAGATTACGTTCAGTAAAACAAGTTAAAAGAAGTGTTGCTAAATGAATTTCATTAGTTTTAAAAAAATTAAATATTCGAAATAAATCCTAGAAATAATAAGAAATTTCATTGTTATTTCTTTATTTAAATTTCTTTTCTTTACTTTTCTATTTTTCAACCATCTACAATAATAATCATTATCATAATAAGATTTAAATTGTTCAATTGTCATTTGATTAAACATATATTCAATTTGAGGTAATATCTTCATATCCAATCGACGAACAGATTCTAGATAATCAATTCCCATTTCTACAGAAAAAAAGCAACATTGATATATGATTTTATATGTTACTTTTAATATTCCAGTTATTGATATGTTTAATTTATACCTCCTACACTTAAACATTGTCGAATTTTATCGATTGATAATTGATCTTGATCATTCTCTTTATAATTTGTCACTGACGATACACTTAATAATAATTCTCGAACACTAGGTGATAAATATGTGGAATTAGCCATATCTATAATAAAACGCATAAAAAAACAAACTTTGATCATCTTCTAAATATAATATACAATAACTAATCAGACAAAATTGTTTTTTCGTTCATTCAAAAACGAATTAACTTAATAAATCATTAAAATTGATTTTATATCAACCAAGTTCAAATGCGAAAAGAGAAATAATAACAGCTTTCATTGCTCATTGAATTTTGATATGTAATATGATCGTTTGATAAAGATGATTGCTCTCGTCAAAACCGAATTCTCTATACCTTATTCCGTTCAGGAGTTACTTGTAGTTTCTCAAGATCCCTGAAATCGGTCAAACAATCTCCTACCAGACTACCATAGCTCAGCACAAAGGTAATCGACCACACTGAGTCGAATGATAATGGGTTTTTCTAATTTCGAAGCTGTTATGCCAGCATTTCCGATATTGTCACAGAAAAAAAAACATGATCGTTCAGCTCATAGTGGTCGATTACGCCTGTCCTGAGCCATGATAACTTGGTTAGAGATCGTTTGGTCGATTTCAGAAGTTTTGAGAAAATGCTCACAACTCTAGGACGAAACAAGTGATAGAGAGTTCGACCTTATGTAGATAGAAAGAAAACAATGTTCTTTATCGAATGGTCATAATACAAGTCAAAATTCAACAAAAAATGGCTTCAAAATGTTATTTTGAAAGTCTTCGCCAAGAATTCACCTGATTTGCCAATAGCTGACTAATCAAATTTTAACCTATTTTTATTAAAAAAAAATATTCTTCTCTCTGTCTGAAAACCGTAGGTTTCTATTGGGCTCTATCAAAATTTATTGAAAAAATGATCATTTGCCTTATATTTTGGCGTCGATAATAATATGCGGAATACAAATAATCATAACTGATTTTTTTTTCTTTTTCTATATTAATTTTGAATAACAATATCAAATAGTTTACGGAATTATGAAGTATCTGATAGATAAGAAATATAATGTCGAAAGACCAAGACGATCTGATCTTAATAACAAAAGAAAAAACATCTATTGTATAAAACAAAAAGAGCATTTCGATAATTAAATTCAAATAAAAGAAAAAAACAAACAAACAAGAATATATTATTACAATGAATTATCATCTTTTTGATGCCATTTAGCAAAACGTGGAATAATTGTTTTCCATTGTTTAAAATTTTTTTCTGTTATATCAGATTGAATTGGTTGAAATATTTTTTTTACAGTAATAATCTTTTGAAAATGTTCATAATCATCAATTAAACCACAACCATATGCAGCTAAAAATCCAGCTCCTATACCTGATGCATAATCAAATGCATGACAACGTTGAATAGGTATTTGTGTTAAATTTGCTATAATTTGACATATAAAGTCACATGTTGATACTCCACCAGCTATACGTATAAATTTTAAATTTTCTTCACCTTGATATTTATTAAAATCATGTTGTACAAATGTAAATAATTCATAAACAACAAATGCAATTGATTGAAGTATTGATCGAAGTAAATCATCACGTGTTGTTTGACAATTAATACCAATAAAACCAGATCCACAATAGGGATCATTATTATGACCACCAAATGCAGGAAGAAAAAATACTCGAGCAAGTTTAATATCAGTCGATATGTTGTTTAGTTCAGAATAATCATTAAAAAATCCAGCTTGTCGAGCCCAATTAAGAACATTTGCACATCCACTATGATATGCATGAAGAAAATGAATATTTTCTTCAGGATTTGAAAGATCTGAATAGGCTACAAGTGGATATATACCATCAGTACAAGCACTAACTTTATCAGTTAAAATATTAACAAATGCACCAGTACCTAATGTAAGTAAACATTCACCAAGATGACAGACACATTGACCAAACATACTTGCTTGAACATCACCAACAACAGCAGTTATTGGTATAGCACGACCTTTTCAATAAAATATTATAGATAGATGATTTTTGTGGCTAGATATATACAAAATCAATTTTGGTTCTAGTTTTGCTTGTTTAGCAAAAACGAAAATTTAATTGGAATAAAAACAAAAACTCTGAATGATGTAAATACGTATTTACTAATGAATGAATATTGAAAAGAGAATGATAGAAGAATTCATGCATTTCTAAACTTCCTAAAGTCTTGAAAATAATTCTTACAGCACTATATAGAATATTTACGAATCTCAGTCATTTGAACTTTATTGTTTTATAAACGTAACGTTAGATCTGACTTTTTCCTTCTTTGCATATATCTAATAAATACATAGTCGAGTACATATGAATACTTGTTGTCCATATTGATAAAACCTATTTATAATAATTATTATATTGAACCGTGTTCTATTCAGATATAATTCAGAAATACATTAAATTGATAAGATTAACCAATCCTACTCATGAAGGAATGTTTTCAAGTGATTTCTTACCAAAAGTTACTGAATTATCCATTTATCGGCCATGCTATTTCCAAATATGATCATAAGAAATTTCTTTAGATCTTTAAATGTTGATTTTCTAGAAAACCAGTTTTTCAAACGAATAAATATTTTAACAAAATCGTTTTAGATCTACTCAAATTATAGAGCATATCGAGGTGTCTATAAGGCAATAATCTTTTCTGTTTTCTGACAATGAATTTTTAGATAAAATAATATTATCTTAAAGATTTTTGCATTAAAAGTATGAATTGAAATAGATATTTTCTGAAAAAATTATTGTTTTTTAGGCAATCTGATATACGCTGTAATCTGAATGGTTCCAAAATACTTTTTAGTGAAAAGTTTGTTAGTTTGAAAAACCACCATACGATGACCTAAGAAAATGTCTTATAGTTATATTCGACATCAACATGATCAATAACCTACAATTTCCAAGCTTTCAATGAGAAAGAGATTGATTAGTTGAAAATGTTTCCTCGTCAGTTGACAATTAATTTAATAGACTAACTAGAAACTAGCAGAACTCTTCTAGAGTCCATATTTTTCAGATTATTTTGTGAAAAACTTTTCGTAAGTCCATATGTTCATATTTATTCTTCAATTCTGAAACATGCAGGTAAAAGAATGAATATAACTATACTCCAATCAAAGTCTCATCTAAAGAGCTAGATATTTTCTTATATAAATATTTTATACTAATGTACCGATAATCACATAACTTTCTTACTATATTTTTATTGTTTTTTTTTCTTTGCTCACTTTTCTCTGTATGATTCATTCTTTCTTATATAAGTATTTGTTATATGTGAAGTAGATATAACTGAATTTATGAAGTAGTAACAAAGAGATTCATTTGAATTCTATTACAATTCGGAATACAAAAAAAAATCGAACTTTCAAATTCCGAAGACTATCATCAAAGTTCATGTATATAAGCACATTAATTGTAAGAGAAAATTAATCCAATGCAAATAAATTACTTTCTATATATAATCATACAGAGCACTTGTCACTTACCGAAAAAACTTGGATCACATTTTCCGAATTGTCCAAAAGTTGGTTTAATGGTTGGTAATAATTTCATTGAAATACCTAAATTTTTACAAACTAATCCTGACCATTGTGATTTAAATGGATCATAAAGTCCTGTTGAACTTGCACATGATACATCAGTTACATATTCTTGTCCACCAGTTAATTTCCATATAATCCATGTATCAATACAACCAAATAATAATCGATTTTGACGTGCATATTGTACTAAATGAGGTTTTTTTTCAAATAACCATAATAATTTAAATGCAATCATTTGTGTACGAAATTCAAGATTTGATAATGTTGATAGACGTGCTGTTTGAATAACTGGATAAATTATTTTTGATGCATGACGTATTGTTTTCCATGTTAATGATGAATTTGTTGCTAAAGTTTGTAAACTTGATCTTGAATCATTCCATAAAATAATATTTGAATATGTTTCACCTGTTTTACGATCCCATAATATAACAGAATTTCTTAATGTTGATATACCTAAACATGTTATATCATCAATTGTTAATGGATGTGCATGTTCAATTGTTTCACGTATAACATAAAGAAATTTTGACCAAAATTCTTCAGGTTCAAATTCATAACCATGTGCTTCAGGATAATGAATTGTTTGTGGTTTTTGACTTGAAGATATAATTTGAAATGATTTTGAAAATAAATAAGCACGAATTGATGATGTACCAATATCAATAGAAAGAATATATGGATCTTTAATAGATGATGATGAACTAGATTGTTCTTCACTTCCAGAATTACTTGTTAAACGTATTAAATTTCCTAATTTAGATTTGTGAGACATAGCGTTTTTATTTTCTTTTATATTCCATGAATAAAAGAAGTGCACGTGATTAGAGGTATGAATATGCCTTATTAATAGGCAAAGGAGAGCAAAAATAATTTGCGTTATTCAATAATTAAGAAAGAAAAATACGTCACAGTCAATATATATTTTTTCCTTCATTTTTCTATCACTAGTGATGTAATCAAGAGTGGGATTGGCCGGTAGCTATCCTATCCCAGAAATAAAGAAAAACATGATAATTACTATCATAGACACTATCTTGCTTGGGTCTTTTTGCCCAAGATCGTTTATTCTAAAAACAAACGTCTGCTACAAAACCTAAAAAGCTTCCCTAACAGAAAGTTTTTTAGAGTGTAGATCATTGCTCTACCACTCATTGTCTTCCGCTTACGCCGCTACTTAGCATTCATATAACTTGTCACAAAATTAGATTGGGTATTGAATTTTCTGAGAGTATCTAGCGTAATAATTTTTAGTTTTCACAAAACCAATCATTTATGATGCAAAAGCAATTGGACAAATGTTGGCTCCTATTGCTCATCGGTAGAAGGATCTGAAAAAAAGATTTTCTTATCTGAAGATAGAAGATTTTTTTCTCTTTAAAATCGTATATAATTGATTTTTATCAAATGCTCATTAAAAAAAAATCATGCAACAGTAAAGAGAAGCATCCTCAAAATGAATCCGCATTTTTCTTATAATGCGGCATAATGATACAAAAATATTAATCTCTACGTCTTCATTATTTTATAAAGTAAGATATTCCAAGAACAATAATTAATTACATATTGGACAACTACTTCAAATATGGATGAACGAAATTTTCACTGAGAAATTATCATTCAGTAAAACTTTCCAAACAAAAATAAAGTCATGTAATGAAATTTGTTAATAATCGTTATGGGATCAGCCAGCATAAATTAACTAACGAGAGAACTACCCCAAGTGGTAGCTCGTGTGTACAGTGAAACTCTTGTACTATGAAAAAAAAATGCGGACTCATTTTGAAGGTGTTTCTTTCTACTGTTGCTTCATTTTTTTATGAAGGTTTGTTGAGAATAAAGTACATACAAATCAAGAGAGAGAAAAACCCTCTATCTTCGAATTAAACAAAATTTCTTTCAGTAACTTTTGCATCGCATCTTATGTAATCAAAGAATAAACAGTGTATCTCATATATCTAAAAAAACCGAATATTCATAAAGGTAATGAAGTACATAGAAAACAAGAATATTAAACTAAAGTCAATACTTTATTGCTCTCTTGTATACCACATGAAATTTAAACCAAAATCCATAAATGACAAAATTCTTTGACTTCAATGAATTGTTATAATGAGAAAAGAGTGAAATTTCTACAACAAAAATACTTGTGGCATATCAAAAGTTCTAACCACGGGGTTCAACGGATCTTTTCGGATAAGAGGATCTATGGAGAAATGAAAAACCACATATCCGATGTTGTAGAGCTTTTCGAGGCCAGTCGAATGGTATATAATAAATTCTATTTTCATAGGACTTTGAAGGACCTAGAGTCAATTTACTGATAGACGACTGCAACCAATCCTGACAAGACGATCAGAGATGCTACATATATGAGGTTGTAGCGTGTCAAAAACTCTACAAAATCATATGTGAGAAAAAATATTTTACAAATACCAAGGATTACAATATTCAGACACTTATCATACTTGGATGTGGATGTGTAGTCATCTATCAGTAAATTGACTTTAGGTACTTCAAAGTTCTGTGAAAACAAGATTTTCTATATACCATTCGACGCGCCTCAAAAAGTTCTACAACATCGGATATTTGCTTTTTTCATTTCTCAATAGGTCTCCTTATCCGAAAAGATTCTTTAAACGCTATGGCCAGAATTTTTGGTATGTCCTAAGTATTTTAAAGTACAATCATGTCGGAATTGTTTTGTATTAAATTGATTTCAGGGTCATGCTTATAATAATAATAAATATGTTTATGAGAATAAAAAAACCAAAAATAAACAAGATTTAAAATATTTGTTCTTCTCGTAAACCTTCAACACCACATTCAACAAAATAAATTGATTTAATATGATTATCTTTTAATAAATCTAAAATTTGATCTTTTGTAAAATTAGATGTTAATGCAATAAGACAACCTCCACCGCCAGCACCAGTAATTTTTGCTGAAATATTTTTATCTGCTAATATTTGTATAATATTATCAATTTCTATTGTTGATACACCTAAACATTTAAGTAATTGTTGATTTTGTTGAAATAATTGATTTATTTGTTCAGGATATTCAATCATTTTATCAACACATAATTCAATATCATTTAAACATTTTTCTCCATCTTTTTGATTATTTTCAATAAATAAACGTACTAAATCAACCATTTTTTTTGTTGATTTTGGTATACCTGTATCAATAATAGCTAAATTTGATAAATGAAAATTAATATGTTTTTTTAATGTTCGACTATAAACAAGTGATTGTCCATATGTACTTATTGTATTATCAATACCAGATGGTGTACCATGAAAAATACATTCAACTTTATATGATAATTGATTAATATCTTCTTGATTAAATGTTTTATAATAAAGTAAATAAAAACAACCAACAAGACAAACACTAAATGCTGCACTTGAACCAAGTCCAGCACCAATAGGAATTTCCGAACGTACTTGTATATTTAAATGACTTTGATTAGATATGAAAGATTTAAAACGATTATAAACATAAAGTATAGCTTGAATTTCAATTGGATATGAATCATGTATATCTAATAAATCAATTGAATAATGTTGATTTGTATCATGAAATAATATTTTTAATAAACTTTTATTAGTTTCATTATTTTCTATTTCTTCTTCTGTTAATTCCATATATAAACGCATACCAATACTAGTAACCAAAGCTCGACGACCATAAACAACAGCATGTTCACCACCAATAATTAATTTACCTGGTGATGAAACAATGACGGTTTTTTTCATCTTCAATAATGTTATTTTAATACTTCATTTGAAGTTTATGAGTACAGTTTCAACAAAAAAATAGCTAATTTTTTACATATATCTCGATTGAATATATGCATATTTCATTTTTTAAAGATATTTATTTATTTTTGTTATATCATTGTTTAGGACATTTGCTATTGTGAAATGAGGCCGACAAAAAAATCAACGGACAAGAGTCTCACTTACAAAAAAGATAAATATTTGACTGAATCGAAAGTTTATATCAGTATTTAATTGTAGTCAAAAAATTTTATCTTCAGAATGTTTAAAAAATTGTTTTTATGTAAAGAGAGCGATAAATAACGTACTGTTGTGAGCTCTCTTCAATTAAAACATAGATAAAATTTTAAAAAAATAGTCGTTCTATGACAAAATTTTTCGATTTCAAAAGTCATCCACCATTGAAATCTAATCAATGAATGACATGAGTTTAGAGTACTCTTACCAGGTCTTAAAATTGAACCACTTTTTTTGTAGCCCGAGCCCGAAGAAAATTTCGTTTACAAAGATTTTTTTTCTATGTGAAAAACTATTGCATATTTTTTGTCTTTTAGAAAAAAGTGATGACCGAGGGAAGAGGTAGCCTGGAATCTTTCCCCCTATCCTTCTCTCAGGAATGAGTCAAATGTCAAAAAAGGATAAAATCGTCGGGCCAGGTGGCTTGTTTCAAGGCCTGACTCCTACTTATCATAATTGGATGATACTTAATTTTTGAAAGCAAGGAATTTTGTTATAGAACGTTAATTGATTGGTTTTTAACATCAATCTATTATTGATCTATTAGGAGGTCAAAATTTCGGACTAGACCCAAATTTCTCTTATTAATCCTTATAAAAAGTCTTACTTCAATCATCTCAAAAGATCACACCACGTTTAATGGGATTAAAACAGACTGCTCAGCACTATATCTTACTGGAAATGCATGTCAATAAGGACTAGGAAGAGTACTAAGTTTTTATAGGATTTATGGCTTTTTAAGAAAGTTAATGAGACGAATTTGAGACCAAACCCCAAGTCCTGTAGGACTTACGATTTGGACCGAAATGCGTATAAACCGATCGATTTCAGTATGACAGAATCAAGAATCGTACATTGCTAATGTTCTTAGTTTTGTATCTCATTTCTTCTTCTTTCAATGGCATTTGATTGTTTTTATCAGTTCCACTTCATTCAAGATTTGTTAATACTATCTACAATCAGAATTCTTTCAACGCATGTTAATTAGTTTCTTCTAATGTTACGAAGTTATATTTGAGAAAAAAAAATTCTATCACAATAAGTTAAAATTTACAGAGACTACAGCCTAACCTTTATATAATATATTGTGACCCACAAAGGACAATAAAGTTTCGTATAGTAAATCTTGTCGATTAACAGATTTCTACCAAACACAATCAAATATAGATTGATATTCATAATAAAATTCTAGAACAAATCTGTTAGTTAAACTGCAAGTATATATATTTTTTTTTAATCATCATTTGAACATAAAAACAAAAACAACGATATTCTCTGCAATTCTTTTTCTCAGTTTGACTTTTTTAAATGATAAAGTACTTATTTAAGAAATAAAAAAGAGAAAGAAAAATGAGTCATGCTAGATTGTTTAGAAAACGAAAAGAAAATGAAAATGCAAATAAAATATTTTTTTAAATAGTTTTTTTTTTCTTCTTTAACGTTTACGAAATCGATATTTGTCAGAATAAAAAACAACTTGACAAAGTATAGCTATATCAATACTAATTTGTAACATTCCACAAAGCCAAAATTGTTTTGGTGCATTTCGTAAAATAAAATAAACAGTTTTAAATATATCACCTGATGTCCACATAAGAACCTTTAAAATAAAAAAAAACGAAAACAAAAATCAAATTCGAATTTTCAAAAAAAACAAACAAACTCACCATTTTTACACTCATTCCTTCAGTTGATTTCAATCGAAAATTACGCATAAATTGTGGTGTACCTAATAAAGCTTCGAAAAATACAGCTAGAAATCCAATTATTTCAATATAATATGTATTATCAAGAAGTAACCATGTTGTTGTACCTTGAATATTCGAAAAAATAAAAAAAATATATATTCTTTTATAAAAGCAAAAAAGAAATCTTACTTAACATGAAAGTAAATACAAATAAAAATTGAAGATAACTTGTTAATCTATATAAATAAAAATAAATAAAATTGTTTCTTATTTTTTGATTTATCCGTACGTTGTCCATTTCCAAAAATCATCCATTTGAAAATCAGTAAATTTTTTTTCACGAATATCTGGTGTTACTTCTTTTGTATGTGATAAATTTTGTTGATTAAGAGGTAAATGATGAGATACAGATTTTGAATAAACACGTATACAAAGTTCAAGCATAATAAGCATACATATAATCATTATAATAGATTGAACAAGAAGAGGAATTTCAAAATGTTTACCAAACCAAAATTCAATACGTAAAATATTAGCAATAAGTAATGTAAGACATACATAATTAGAAAAACCTTCAGCATTTTGAGAACGTTGTATTATTAAATATTGAGGAATATATGGAACAACACCACCAAACTAAAAATTTAAAAATCAAATTTTCAAATGTATGATATACAGAATTGCTGGCGATTAGAAAAATGATCATTTGTGTGACATTGGTAGAATTGTATCGATGTTTTAATGAAAAAATTTTCCGCTAGTGAGTCTAAGGATACAGTCAAAATTTTATGGAAGATAAATAATTGAGTTTTTGTCATCTGTCTGTAATACATAAAGTTCTTCATTAATTTCATACCTCAAAAATGTGAAACATATTGATCAAATTATTTAACGATACTCTTCCTTCCGTGATGCAAAATTTTGATTTCTTTTGCAACCATTATACAGTCTGAGATTGTATCTATCTACTGAGTATTCAAAATTTGTCTAATTCGAGTTAGCAAAAATTGTTCACTGTTTCGCCAACCTATTGAGTTGAAACTTTTTTATTCGAAGGAGGAACAAAATAAAAAAAAGAATACTCGCTACCAACAGTGTCTGATACCTATAACAAAACTTTCAGCTCGATCGAACATTGCATCTCGGGAAAATGGAGGAGTCAGTTTTCGCCATTATGAATTCAGTTTCTCATAGAAGACAACATTTCGAAGATTGCTAATATTCTCAATAAACAAATATATTTATATTCTATATACAACTTACAATCATAAGAGCTTGTGAAAAAATTCGAATTGTTGCTGCAAAAATTGAACTTAAGTCTGCCATTGATAATAAATCACTTCTAAATAAAAATAATAATAAATTTGTTGTTTCTATTTGAATAAATAATTATTTGTCTTTATTATTTTTAAATTATTGGCTGAATATTCATTGAATTCAATCAAAGATATATTACGTAATCGAATCAAATACTATAGACGAAACAATAATGACAAAGATGTATAGCGAACAATAACCAATAAGATTAAATAACAGTTGTGCAGAATCTGCCTATGAGCGCTAACAACCGTTGGGGGGGGGGGGGTATTTTTTCAATTTTCCGAACGAATCTTAGCTTATTTATATATAATTACATCGATAAGATCTTCTACTTTTCTTTTCATTAAACTTCTGAAAGAGTAAGTCATGTCTTTATCGTAGTGTCAGTATCGTCTACCGTTGTTTACATTGATCATGCATCTTATCACTTGTTTCACCCTATCTCTTTATGCCTATTCATGATATAACATGTACTATTTGTGTGGATATGACTGTATAGTAGAGCCGAGTATCGGTTTCAAAATAATTTTCTAAAATCGTATGGATCGTTTCATCATATTTAACGTTAATACATTACTTGAATATGCATCTTGTAGAGAAATATTTCCTCTTTAAACTCATCTACTTAGACACGCACACAATAATCCTTCGTGTCAAAAATTCTTTTTATTGAAAAAGTACGATTTCAAACTTAGAACTAGTCGGATCCGAAAAATATGAAACTGTACGTTTTCAATAAAAAAAAATTTTTTATATAAAGAATTATTTGGGAACCGATGTTGGGCTCTAGGGTGTAGGTGACCAAAGAAGTAGCATTCATACATCTCCGTTCATATTCACATTTACATCCACACCCTCGTTGTAATTGATTGACTGTATATGATGAAGTAGTTGTAACAGTAGAAGCACTGGAGAATAGAATCGGAACGTTATTTTGATCAGCAGATATTGGTTTCATATTTTTCTGTTATTTGAAGCATTTGAATAGCAAAATGATAAGCAACACTTACAAATATGTTTTCATTACAGTGATTCCTTTCTTTGTCCATTTCATTGAAACATTCGTTTTTCAGAGAATATACGGGAGTCCTAGACACTATGTGATAACGACACTTGTGTTACTTTACTACATAGCTCTTAACATTTTCGAAACAGATCATCATGTCTATATTTTTTAAAGTTAGTGTTTGGAATTTTCAGGGCGCAAGGATCTTCTCCTGCTCCACCCTCTCTTGTAAAATAACAGGGGAGATTTACCTTGCCCTATGGACATTTCTAGAATCCACCATCGTTACATTCAGTTGATTCATTTTTTGCAAATTCACTCAATGATTATATGTATATTTGCAATGTGTTAAATAGTGATAGTTGTTTTTTTTTGAATAAATAGCTTAAACAAGAATACTCGTTTTTCAATTGAATTTTATAGTGGGGAAAATTTTTCACAAAATCTTTGTCGTTCGAGGAAATTTTTTATTTCATCGGCAGATTCTGCACTCCTGCTAAATAAGCATGAAAGATATCAATTTTTTTTTTGAAAATATCTTTTAAACATATCGAACAAAATCTCATTATAATATAAATACTTACAAACTTTTCATTTTTTTTTCTAAAGACTAACCTCTTTTGAATATATATTTCAAAAAAAAAATACTAATATGGATAATTATTAATTTGAATATAAGCTTTACCTTGTTTTATTAATTTAATTGTTGTATTAACAGAATAAAATATAAATCTAAAACGAAGAACAATATGAACATAGAAAGTTTGTCAAATATGATTGAACTCATATTTTTAGAAAGTCGAACAGCAAAATCTCCTAATAACTAACTTCTCATATTAACAACTGTAAATATGTAATAAATTATTTTTAGAGAAGAAAAAAAAACACAAATATCAGTTGATTTTCAATTACGAATGACAAAATTTTTTTTCTTGCTGATGACATATACTAAAATATAAAAACATATAATTTTTAAAATAGAATATGTCTGGATTACCTTACTTCAGCTGAACATAATTAAGATTCTAATAGAGCATGTTGAAGGTCGAAAGAAACAAGCCAAACATATAAGCTGAAGAATATTACTCATATCGTACATCGATACTATGCACCAATCAAATTACGATTCCTTATTTTACCATCATCCAATTCTTTAGCTTCTTTTCTACTTACATATTAGCTGAACAAACATTTAAAATTCTGAGTAACTCGTAGATAAGTTTTTATTATTTTAAGAATATAAATATGTTAATCATAGCAAATGAATTTATGTGAAATCGTATGTTCAAGCTCTTTTTTTGCTTCAAAAGTCTTGGATTTATTTTTCAGTTCAGAAAATATTAGAATTTTTTTTTCTATCGTAAAGTTTACATTAAATCCTAGAGAGCATACTGAATTGAATAAATATTCTTACAATTCATAGCACTCTATGACAAGTTTGCAGAAACATTTACATTTGATCTCATTGTTCATATTTATGATACTCTTCAGCTGATTACATCGAAAAAGATCTCTTCGTGAGATAAATCATTTTTTTTTAATATTTATTCTGAAACTACCATTGGCTAATCTGTATTGCGATCCAGTGTATTACTTTTAGTATTGAAATTTATTTCACATACTATATGTTTTATGAAGATAAATAATTGAAAAAAAATCACCTTACGACGTAGTGACGTTTTTTTTTTGTTGAAAGTGGAGTCCGATAAATTTCTTTTGCAGGTACTAGTACATTTATGAGATAATTTGTGGTTGTTGAAGCATTATTTGTATAGTAGTTTCTATTACGAAGAGTTTAGTTTAGTTATAATTTTAGTTTTGTTGAACAATATTTCGATTTATTTTAACAAAGATATTTCTTATTAATAAAATTCAATGAATAGAAAAAAAGATAATTACTCACTACTAAAGAAAAATCATGAAATATTTATTCTTCGACACAATGTATTTTCCTATGTAGTAATTCTTTCAACCATAGTAGAACGAAATAAAAAAAAACATACGGTTAAATCGTGACTGTCATATGCATTAGGTATAGATCGAAGAAGAACAACAACTGGCATCATAAGTCTACAAGAAATTAAGCTTATTCTTGTCTAGCATGTCATCATAGTTGTAATCGATTATTATATTTTTACTCCCTTTAATTGATTTACTTCTATAAAAGATTTTTTTTTAAAATCTAATTATTATTTTCAGCCTTTTATTCGTCCTCGATTGATGATACAAAAAAATTGATTAATTCAAAAATTTGTATTTTTCTACGAACTATACTTTATTTTATTTAATAAATAGAATATCAGTAAACATCTGATATTGGTTTATTTTCTGTTGTCAAAATATAATTTAAATACGAAAAAGTAGCGGCACAAAAAATCCGCAAACAGGGCAGAATCTAACGTGAAATCAAGAATGAACTGATAGAGAAGCATATATAAGCGCACGTCACTAGCCAATGCACGCACCATCTCTGTTTCCATCATGCTCTGTACGCGTAACCGAGTGTTTCATACGCCACCCATATCAATGACGCACGGACTTACCTGGGTACTGCTGTTATTTGTTAGCATCAACAGAGGTCACTCTTACCACTAACTGTTATAGTACGGGCTATTGGTCTCTTTTTTCCCCCTTTCACCTGTTCTTCTACGGCATCTCTGACTCATACCAGGGATCTGTCTTCACAACCAGTTGTGACTGATATTTGTTTTTATCCACTTATTGATATTGATCATCTACTTGTATCATTGATATTGGTTTTTTCTCAATTATTGATGTTGGTTATCCATATTTTTATTGATTTTTTTCCGTTTCTCATTATTATAACCTTCAGTTTCATTGTATTAATAAAACCTCATCATTAATATCCATTACCCATCTCAACATTGATACACGGTAGGCGAGTTATATCTTTTTTTTTACGTGAGATTTTTCATACCCTTAGTAGATTAGGGTTAGATTTAGTTTGGACAAGAATATTTGTCAATTAGACTGAACGAGAATCTCATATTACTAAGCATTCAATCCTTTTGATATTATAATACCATTAAACTAGATTTTTTCAAGAACAAAATGTTCGAAACGCATAAAGAGAAGTATATACTATAAATGTTTTCTCGGAGATTGAATGAGATGTATTTGCTAGAAAGTTGTGGAAAATGACATTTTTTTTGCTTGGCTCAACTAGGGATGTACTAAACTCAATTATAGTCATATCCAATTGTTAAAACTGACTGAATTTGGTTATTGCAGAATTACGAATAGTGAAGATATTCATATAAATTGATAATTTGATACTAATTTTTTCAAGACCGAACCCAAGTCAAATATTGAAAATGGGTTTAGAATTAGTGTATCTCAAGGCTCAATCATTAGGATTGTGACACACTTTTCATTTTATAAATGAGAAAAATTTATCTGTGAGGTTTTCTCTTATATACTAAATTTGACGACTTTTCAAAAATAGTTTCTGATAAATGTCTTTCCATAGAAATAAAACACAATTGAATACGAGGAAGCTTCTATGTTTATAATAAAGCAACATCAAATCGAGTCGGATAGCTGCTAGCAATCATTTCTTGACAGTAAAATAACCAGTTTGTTCGTATATTGTGACCAGACTTAGACATATCGACTGCTCTATTATTTAGAATATATATCTATATTCAAGTCTTATTATTTACATGTAAAACAAAAATCCGGATTTTTATTTAGAAAAATTTATAAAATTTTTTCGTCTTTGTTTTTTAATTGTCTTTGAAGGTGAACGTGATAGTACTCAGCAATTATACGATGATATGACAAGGGGGAACAAGCGTACTTCTGTACTTCTCCGTACTTCTTTGTACTTCTTGGTACTTCTCTTACAGAAAGGCTATCAAAAACAAATCGGCAATATTATCAAAGACAAAATCGAGGAAAAACAACAAACATCTGTTGCTGTTACTGTTGAACAAATTCAACAGAGAAATTAACTCGATAAGATATCACTTTACGGTTCAGTATAAAGATTAATCATAAATTTAATATCAATACTTTTAATTTTGTTTCTTCATATATATTAATTCATCTTATTTTGCGCAAATCGTAAGTAAAACAGCAATTGTATTAAAAATTTAAATCTTTTCAAAGAGAAAAAGCTTTAATTGATTCTTTTTGTTTCAAACAATAAATCATAATTCGTTGAGTCTAAGATTTGGAAACGTTGTTTTTCTGTAAAAGAAACAGAAGTGATTTGGAAAGTCAACTTAAACTTGTCTATAATATCAACACAAACTTAGCATAATACTTCTTGCTTAGCTTGATAGTTTTATCTAGTAAGACCTATATTCAAAGCTTATTTTGACAAATAAAACTAAAATTTTGATGTCAATTTGCTTCCAAGAGTTCACCCTATTATGTGATGCCAAAAGAATAACTTTTTGAAATGAAGTCAATCCAATGAAGCTTTTCCAAGGTTCACAGATAAAAATTGAAGAGAACGAACTTTGGCGCTAATAATTTTAGCAGCTTGTCTGAAGGAAAAAAATTTTTATTCTTCGAGTGACCCGAATCCTACTCGAAAAAAATTAGATTCGGAGTTCTGACTTGGATTCGATGCTAATTATTTCAGATTAAGACAATTAGTACTAAATCGAGTCCAAACCTCTAGAGATTTGGCTCGTCCACTGCCTACTAGTGACTATTTTCAAATAGTCCTCAACTCAGAAGAAGTACATTCAAAGATGAAATCATCGCTTATGATATGACTTGACAGTAATATCATTGGATAAAAAGAGCTCACTTATCTTCCGAAGGAGATGAAGAATGTCTAATAAGTTTTGATCTTTTTAAGTAGTATTCTTTCCTTATATATTTCTTCAGTAGAATAGGTTGATATATGCTAGATGAATTTGAGCTTTCTATCTTAAATGAATTGATGAGATCAGATTTAAGAAGACACTTCAACAGATTCACCAAGAAAATGAGAAAGAATCAAAACATCTTGATAATCAATCTGTCAAACAATGTCCAAAATGTCAACAAAATTATATTCTGGTGAAAGTTAATCACGGCACTTGTCACTATCACGATGGATTTGTCATCGATCTTGATCATGATAATAGTTCATTGACCATGTAGTAAGCTCAAAGAATTTGCCAGAAAGCTAAATTCTGGATACATAGTGGCAACAGGGAACAAAACTTTAAACCACCGAAATTGGCTTGGACATGTTGTTTGGGACTATTTGGAATCGATCAACCATGTCGAGTGGGCATATGTGGACTACCCAAAGCGCTAAAAGACCAGCAAATTGATCCAAACAAAGATTTGGTAACAGTTGTACAACAACATTTTATGAAACATCAAGCCGCTGTTCAAAATATCAAATAATTCATGAAGACTTACCTAATAACGTCGACAACGGCACAATCAATGAGTACCTCCAATTGATCATTTACCACCGCACCGTTAGTTATTGCTTACTCGTTGAAAATCTAAACTTTTCTTCTATTCACTTTTCTAATAACATTTTGCTTTAGACAATATACTCGAGATCATTTTCTTCATCAGTAGTGACTGATTTACTCAAATCCCGAAATAAATGAGAAACAAAAGAAAATTTAATATCTAGTGCAATGATCGAAAGGAAAGGGTGTGGTAATCCTAGTGGATGTCGGTATGGTACTGATTTTGTCTTCTCTTGCACCTACACTCTAACCCATCCACACGCTCATATCCTTGGAAGACCAATACTTTCTTTCTTTTCAGATGGAATCAAACAGAAACTACAAATATATAAGAAAAGATGGTATTGATCAGCTTCTCATATGTCAAATTTGCAAGGATCCTCTACTTGATCCCGTCAAGACTCCATGTCTCCACACATTTTGTAGTCAATGCATTGAAAATCATCTCAAGAGTAATTCATCTTGTCCAGCCGAATATTGTGGTCAAGAGTTATACATTGAGAATTTGAACCCGCATGAACCTGGCAATTTCATCTCAATGCTCAATAGGCTTGAAGTCAAATGTATACTTTGTAAGAAAAAACCTTTATTCAGAGCGGACTTTAATGAACATAGCAACAAAGAATGCACTAAGGTCGTAGTAGAATGCTATGCGAAAGAAACTGGATGTCCATGGTCGGGA